TTCACCCGCCCCGGGTCCGCCCGCTGCCGAGGCGCTCACCAATACTCCACCACGATGCGGACCGGCCGCTCGGCCCCGTTCCCGTCCCCGTTCCCGTTCCCGTCCCCTCCGCTCATGGCCCCCGGTCCCACCGCGCCGCCGCTTCCGGGTGCGGTCACGTGACGCGGGCGCTTCCGGCCGCTCTGCGCCGCCGCCTCGCTCGTCTTGTCTGCTCCGAGTCCTCCGGGGCGCCCGCCGTGACCCCCGTGACCCCCGGGCGACAAAAAAGTGACCCTTGGTGACCCCCGTGCGACCTCCAGTGACTCAAAGTGACCCTCAGAGCATCTCTAGTGACCAAAAGTGACCGTCGGGGGTCCCAAACTGATCCGTGTGTCACCAGGAGKGACCCCCAAAACCCACAGGGGACCCGGAACCACCCACGTGGGACCCACAATGACCTCAGTGACCCCCGTGTTACCCGCACCCACCCCCGTGGGACTCAAGAAAACCTCCGGGGGACTCACACGGAGCCCGTGGGACCTGAAATGACCCCTACAGGTGTTCTCTAGTCCCATGAGAACCCCCACTGCCCCATGGGACCCCCACTTAATACCCTGTGCAGGTTCTGTAGGGCTGTGTAGCCCCACCACAGACCCATAGGGCCCTCATGGAGGCCTCAGCATCCCCCACAGGGACCCCTGAACCCCTCCACGGGGACATCTCTGTGGTCCCATGGCACCCCAAGTCCCAGTGGTGACTCCCAGACCCCTTATGGGTCACCCACAAGAAACCCCATGGGATCCACACACAGCCCCTAAGGGATCCCACTAGGTCCCATATCCCAAAAACGCCCCACATCCCTCCTGGCAGGGCCCCTGACCTGCGTGAGACCCCCATGACCCTTCCCCACCCCACAGGGTCCCACCTGTGCTGACCCAATGGGGACCCTCACGGGACCCTTCCAGCCCCCACATTGGGGATCCCAGGGGAGCCCTGACCCMAACCCCACACCCTGGGGCTGGAGACCCCCGGGGGGCTGTTCTGGGGCTCTGTGGGTCCTGTCCCCCCCCAGCCATCCCAGGGGACCGGGGCTCTGTGTCCCCACACAACCCCGCTGCTCCAGGGGTCACCCCAGTGCATTGTGGGAAACTCCCCATCACCACCTCAGTGGGGTCTCAGGAGATGTTTTTGGGGGGTCCATCCCCCCGGGGCTGACTCGGAGCCATGCTGGACACCCCACTCGGGGTCCGGGGGGGCTGGGGAGCCCCCGGGGTGCGGTGGGGGGCCGGTGCCGGGCAGCAGGCCCGGGGCGCAGTGATGTCAGGCGGGGGCGGGAGCTGGCGCGGGTAGATAAAGCCGGGGAGAACAGGAATCCCCGGTCCGGCGGGAGGCTGCCGGGACGCGCCGGGCGCTGCAGGTAGGAGCGGGACCGGGCTGGGGGCTCTGGGGGCTCGGGGGGACCGGGGGTCACCCCGGGGTGCTGATCCTGTCCTGTTGGGGCGATCCCGGAGCTCTCACCGCGCCCCTTCTCTCCCTCCCTCTTTCCCTCCTTCCCTCCCGCCTTCCTCCCGGCTCTTCCTCCTCCTCCTCCTCCTCCTCTGCCATCCCGCTGCTGCTTCCCCGCTGCCTCTGCGCCCCTGCTGAGCCCTGTCCCCCCACCCCGGGCACCCACCGGGACCCCCACCCACAGCTGGGACCCTGCTCCTCAATCCTGGTGGTCCCGGGACCCCGTCCCTTATCTTGGTGACCCCATAAAACCCCATCCCCTAACCCTGGTGACTCCAAGACTCCATTCCCTAATCCTGGTGGCCCTGGGATCCCATCCCCTAACCCTGGTGGCTTTGGGATCCCATCCCCTAGCCCTGGTGGCCCTGGGATCCCATTCTGTATCCCTGGTGGCCCTGGGATCCCATCCCCTCATCCTGGTGGCCCTGGGATCCTGTCCCTCAGCCCTGGTGGCCCTGGGATCCCATTCCCTAACCCTGGTGGCCCTGGGATCCCATCCCTCACCCCTGGCACCCTGTCCCCTCAGTCTGGTGGCCCTGGGACTCTCTGTTCCACAGCCCTGGTGGCCCTGGAGCCCATCCTGGTGGTCCTGACCCCCTCCAGTCGCCCACCCCATAACCCTGATGGCCCTTGTCCCTTTTCCCAAGGTCCTGTGTCCCCCTGTTTATCCCAAACTCCCGGGGACACCCTGTGTGTCCCCACCCTGCTGGAGCCCTGCCAGGGCCACCAGGCCAGGGGTGACACCGGTGTGACCCGAGGCCATGGGGTTGGGCTGGCGGGTTGGTGGCAGGGCAGTGTCACATCCCCCCCGTGTCCCCTGCCGTGTCCCCAGCAGCATCACCCCACCTGACCCCTGAYTGTCCCTGACCCCACAGYGTCCCCRTGTCCCCAGGTCACCCCRGGGTCCGGCCAGGCAGGGAGCAGAGGGTCCTGGTGGCACGCTGGCATGGGGACAGTGACACTGCAGGGACAGGGATGGCACAGGGGTGGCATCAGCCCTTCCCAGCCACGGACTTGGACCCCGCGAGGTGGCAGGAGGTGGGGACAGCCACCACAGGACAGATTCACGTGGCCCTACACGGTGTCCCAGCACCGCCGGCCACCGAGTGCCACCGCGGGTGCCACGTGTGTGTGACACGCGCCACGTGCCCCGGTGCCACCGCTGCCACCAGCGGTCACTTCGGGGCCGCTGTCCGAGCACCGGGCACGGTCCGAGCGCCCCGGGTGGGGGACACGGGTGGGGACACGGGGGGTGGCCGTGCCAGCGGCGGTTCCCACGGCGGCTCCCTCGCCCCCGGCTCCCGGCGCGGCCGCCCGGGCCCGGATGCCAGGGCGGTGAGGTGGAGCTGGGAGCGGCCGCCAGAACTGGTTTGGCCGGACCCGAGGAGGTGTTTGGGCTGAGCCACGCTCGGCTTCCTGCTCGCCACGGCGGCGGCACCCGGCAYGGCTCGGGACAGCATCTCCCGGTGCCCCCCAGACCCACTGTGGGGACGCTGGGGAGGGTCCTGCACGGGATATGGGGGATTCTTGGGGGTCTCGTAAGGGGTTGTGCTCACCGGGAGTGTTACATTGCAGCCCCCAGCACC